TATCCGACGATACCGGGAATTCTACGCGAGAAACCGCGCGCGACGATGTTGCGACGATGTTGCGCGCGGTTTCTCCCCTCGCGCGCAAATAATAAACCAACCAACGCGTTTATACGTATATAACGCGTACCTTTCATGATGTCCATTAAAGTGTTCCGTTTGAGGTTGCCGGAAAGTTCAGAGACGGAGTTTACAACCCGGCGTTGTAAACATTTCCTCGTAGCTTCGAGTTGCCTCACGAACCTGAAAAATAAAAAGATACAAAAAGATAAATAAATATTTACAAAACTATTTATATTACTATATATAGTAGTATATATTATATATATATATGCATTATTATATATTTTTATTATAAGGATAAGTTCTCTCGCACGTCAACGTAACGTTTTCTCTCAATCGTGATTATTGCTGTAATGTTTATTCATATTTAGATAGTGTTTATTACGCAATATAAATACGAACCTTGACGAGTCAAAAAAAATTTGTCAACCGGAGCTGTGTGCGTCGTGTACGCGCATCGACTTCGAGCGTTAATTCTCAAAACTTCAAACTCCTACGCACGTCTCGGTGGCGCCACCTCTCGCACATTAACCACAAATGTACATACAATACTACACTCGGGCGCCATTACGAATTCCGCGCCGAATGATAATTCGGAACTAGGCGCACGACAGATTTGAAATGTCTCACCGTTATTAATCCAACGTTCTCTTGTTTCTCTTGCACACGCGCGTACGGTCGACCGCTCGACCGTTTAATTAACTAAATACGACGGAGTCCGATAAACACACGTATTGGCTATAAACTCACCGCGGTCGCCGATAACACGCCGCGTGTCGATCGCCGACCGCGCTTTTCCCGATCGCAATTATGTCAAGCAACGCACCTCTGCGAACTCGACGACACATCGCGGTGTTTATTCATGTGTTGCCCCACGTTTATTTATTTTTTACTCCACAATAGTCTAATCTTCTTCGTCTTGTTTTTCGAGTCGCGTCTTCGAAACATAGCGCACGTCCGCTCGATCGCGTTCGACTGACGAACGTGCGCGAATTAATGATATGCGATATCTCGATCGCGTCGATTGTCACGCGACTCAAGTCGAGAAATATACTCTTCGAAATGATATCATGAATATATCGAATATTTGTTTATCGATAACGCGATTTATCTTGTCACAACTTTTCGATTTTGTTTCTCTTGTAACATCAGAATGGATCTCAAGATTTATCGAATTGAACGTGAACAAATTCTCGAGTATTAATTTTTCCGTATCAAAAAAAAACAAAAAAAGTGAACGTAGCCGCGACTAGCCGCGGTCGATCAGCGCCACGACGTAACGCGGTGTGCGCGCGCGCGCTACGGTAGCGCAACTTCACGTCTATATATCTCGTCATCGCTCTTCCAACTTCGCGCGTCTTGTGTGACAACCGGTCATTAATAATACCTACCTGCGCGCTCTTTTAGCACCAAGAGGAATACGTGCGTCACGTTGGCGTTGGCCGCGTCGGCGACGTTCGCGTCGCCATTTCTAGAGATACGTTTAAAATCGCGGCTTCTGTGTGCGTAATGCGGTGGATGCATGCGCCTTCGGTTGTCGGTTTGTCCGACTCTTGACTCGATTTCGCGACCGCAACTCTCTCGGGGAAGATATATCTCTCCCCGACCGCTCCCGGGAGAGAGAGAAAGCCTCCCTCGCTCTCTTCTCCTCGACCGCGCGGGCCCTTCTCGCCCGTTCCCTGAAGTCGGTGTGTGTGTGAGCAGCGCGGATTCTCTCTCCCTTCTGCCTCCGCGGACAACGGTGGCCCCCGCCAACGGGGAGACAGGGGGATAGCAGAGAGACCCCGCGTCGCGGAGACAACATAAAGATTTAAGACTGGGAGATGCGCCAATAAACATGCTGCGCCCCTGCCGCAGTCAGCTCGCGCGCTTCTCCGCTCCGTTCCGTTTCATTCGGTTCCGCTCTCGCCGTTCTGTTCTGTTCTGTTCGCCTTTTGCTCCTCACGGTCTTTCTGCTCCCGGCAGCCGCCGCATATATGCACGTCGTAGCGACGCGACGCGTACGCAGAATGCATACAGGGTGTTTCATCTCGAGCCGTTTTGATTTTTTTTTTTTTTTTTTTTTAATATGGCCTAACACATTTTTTTGGATTTTGAATTTTTCTTCTAAATCAATGTCCTTAATTTTCTTTGTTGTAGTAACTGTTTTGTTGCAATATAATTAAATTGTTTGTGACAGAATGTTTAAGCTCTCTTCTCGTGTATCGGTTCAAAAAATTTAATCAGATAGAAATATGACTTAGATCTTCCGTTTTGTGCTAAGAAACCAACAAGAAATACACTTTTAATTTTACGATGAATTCGATAGATGTTAAGTCGAGTTAATGCTAACGTACGTTGATCTAACGATTCGTCTGATTTTCAGCGAGTGAATCTCCGCGACGTTTGCGAGAGGTAAAGTCCGAAAGAAGCGGTTCTCCGGATAACGAGATGCGGGTACACCTGCCAGGCTGTTGGTTTGTTCAGCTCCGGCGGACGCGCTTTCGCACACGGCGGAAATAAAAGCTTTCAATACACGAAAGGACGATCGTATACCGCGAAAGTAGTAGATCGGGACGTTGGTCGAGCAAAGCGACAAGGGACTTGAGAACTGGGCCCACTTGCCGATGCTTGCTGCTACTCTCTTCTCTCTTTCTCTTTTTCTCTCTTTCTCTCTCTCTCTCTCTCTCTTCTCTTTCTCTCTGCTCTCGGAGGCCCTCCGACTTATTTATTCCTTTCTCCGTCGTTGGTTCCCTTTCTTCCTCGACTTCTTCTTTATTTCTGTCCTTTTGCCCGTTTTCTGCTTCCGCAAACGACAGCCGCTTATTTATACCCCGTCTTTGCATCGTGCGGGAGAGACCGAGCGAGGGTGCTTTTGCGTTTACTCGCTACTGCCGAGTTGCTGTTGTTGCTGCTGCTGTTGCCGCCGATTCTCGTTTCGATTCCTTTTCTTCACTCTCTCTCTTTCTCTTTCTTCTTCCTTTCTGCTCTTTTTTGTACACATCTTCGGTCGCGCGTATCTCTTCCTCATTTCCTTTCGAACCATAAAGCGGATCAGCGACGAGGCGCACTTTGCTGCCGCGACACCGCGAGATGCGGTCACGGACGTGAAGAGCAATTCCGCATCACTTGTCGACACGGAATTGCGGACAGGCAGGTCTATATTATACGCGTCAGTGGTAGACCATCTTCTCGTGGCTTTTCTATTGATATTCCTAGTCGAGAAGTCTATGCTACTGTATCCTCGTTAAGCGAAACAATTAAGCGAAACAAGCCGCGATGATGGGAACTCGCTGTAACGTTCGAAATAAGAAGAACAAAACCGGTCGAGATATTTATCTTCTTCGTGCGATCGTTTTCCGGGGATAAATTTAAGATCAAACTCGGTTACTCTTAACTCTCCGATCCGAACGATCTCTCATTCCCGAATTAGACGGGACCCGATCAGATTCTGGCACACGATGAAGGGTATACCGAACACCACGGACATGTCTGTTCGCGACAAAGGCCGAGAGCGAGGGAGAGGCCTTTGAACAAATAAATGCTGAAAAGAGGAACAAAACCGACATTATGTGGCATTAACATACAAAGTATGTCAGACTCGCGATCCGCAGGCATAACATAGTATCGCAGTGTTCGCATGCCCCTGCTTCTTAGTGGCCGCGTGTAAGAGAGAAAGAGTGAGAAAGAGAGGAAAAAAGAAGTGAGCAAATGCGTGTATTCGAAAGAGAAAGAAAGAGGGAGGAAAGAGCCGCCGAGAGCGCGTGGAATGGAGCGAAGGACGAAGAGGGTAGAATGATGAACGCGGTAAAGTGTGCATGTGCGTTTCAGCGAAGGGCTCGCGCGACAAGGACGAAAGAGAGAACGGAAAGACAGTAGCGGATTTGTTTAAATAAACATGCGCGGGAATTATACACACACGCTCTTTTTGTACGTCTTTCAGACCTAATCGCACGCGCTCGCACGTTGATTCCGTAACAATTACTTATTCTTGTAACGTACACATATAAATGCACACACACATTCCGAAAATAATGTTATGTTTTTTTACAAGTTATAAATAAAATATTTTAGTAGATGTTACAAACAATATCCTGATTTTAGAGTGTTAATTGTATTAATAAGTGCAAATATTAATTTTCTTTATCGGTTTTTCGATAAATTCGCTACTGACTAAAGAGAGAGAGAGAGAGAGCATTTACGTCGTCTTCTGGTCCTCCGAAGATCCCGGTCCCATCGTTTCGTTCCTCTTCGCAGTATATATGTGTGCGGTGCCATGCGGTGCGGCTTAACGCAAAAGGGCTCACCGGGAGCGGGGAAAAGAGCAGCGCAGTGGAGTAACAGAACGGAAAGGGAAAGATCCGAGAAGGCAGAGCGGCGCAAAGCGCGGTGGTGGCAAAGGGAAAAAACAAAGTGTATATATCGGGGCCGGTCTATGACGACGGCGGCGACGCCGGGGACACACACACGCACACACAAAAAGAAGGATTCTCCTCCGGTGTCACCGCCGGTGTAGCCGATCCGGCGGACTCCGGATCGCCTACCGCTAGCGAGAGCTGCGAGCTGCTCAAAAAGAATATCGTTGTTCCTTCTTTTAGAAAACCTACTATTTTTCTTTCCTCGCACAAAACGTCTCATTTCTCACACGGAAACTTGAATGCGAATACACAGAATTACAAGATCACGCATTACTGTGCGCTCTTGTTTTGTTATTCAAATATTTCCGAATTTTGACGCGATCGTGTTTATATCCAACGCTACTCGATAGTTCCGCATCACTTTTGCAAGTTTCACGTTTTGGTCTTATACGTTAGCTATTAGCGAAAATTTATACGCCCGTCATACGCTCTATTTTACGACGCATTTAAGAGACAGCTCTACGAAGTTCGATTCAAATTAATTGCGTTTCTTTTTTTGTCTTATCTTGAGTGAAATATTCGTACACACACATCGATCAATATTTGCGCAATATATATTTTTCTTCAATAATTTACATTTTTTCAATATCTAATGATAATTGTATAATTAAGTTGGTAACGTCTACTGACATAAAGTATAACAGCTGTTCTATATAAAAATGCAAAAAGTTTACAAAAGCTCGTGAGATCTCTAATGATACGAACTTAAAAAGTAAGGCACATCTAAAATACATTTGTTACAACACGTGTAATAATAATAATAATAATAATAATAACAATAATAATAAATATATACATGAATTCAAAATGCTAATAATAAGAAAGCTTAATGATTTCTATTTCTGTGTAAAATATGTATGTAATAAAAAATAATATGAAACTATATATATTGTTGTATATAATATGTGTATACCAGATACACACATTATACCGTATCAATTCGTATACTACACAACAGACATAAATCTAGCAATACTATTAATGTTAAGGTTGAACATTTGGCTTTTTAATGTGCAATAAGTATCCCTTTGACAATAATATTCCACGACATTTTAAGTAGACCTGATACTTTAGCAGCCAGTGCAAGGCGGCAGTGCTGCCGAATATATCCTCTAACACTTCTTGAGGAAGTATTTCTATTTAAAGGAATGGAACAAAAATTGTGTGTTACGGTTAATAATGTTGTAAAATCGAAAATCACATTAATATTTTTTAAGCTCAGTAAAATCTTTTGTTTTTGTAAAATCATTACGATTAAAGAAGATATTTACCAGCTGGATCGCTGTGCGTTAGTAATTGAATGTCATTTTGCTTAGTGAATTCTTGCAAGGCTGGCGGCACCACACAACAGGCAGTTAAATTAATTTGTACTATGTTTGGCTTTACCTGCAAGGAATACATATATTCTGCATTACATTAGTTCGACACACTGAATGGGATTTACACACATTACTTCACACAGAAGGTGATTCATTCTTACCTCAGCCCAGTGGAATAGATCCGTGAACGTGTTGGTGTTAATGTCGCTCAATCCGACACTGAACAATTTGTCAGCTTTCACATATTTCTCTACCACAGACCATATTTGTTTCAATGACAACAATGTATCCTCCGGGCTCTCATCCGTTTTGTAAGCTATTACTAAAGATTCTATGGTATTTGTACGTAGTGCTTTAAATGCTATTAAAAAAAAAAAAAGTAAAAGATATAATATATATAGAAATCTATTGGAAAAAATACATTGTTACAATTACAACATACCTTGGTCCAATGCTTCCTTCAATAAATCAACATTAGGCGAGGAAATAAATACTTTAGTAGTAATCTTCAAATCTTTCCTGTCAACATCCTGCATATTTGTATCTTCCTTTCCATTAATCTATATAATAAGTAATTGATATAAACTTATATCAAAAGACAAACAAAAGAACAATGATTTTCTGGTCTCGTTAGCGGTACAACTGAAAATAGATGTTGAAACCAATAGCAGGATAGATTCTATTTTAACATTTATGAAATAAAACATCTATTTTCAGTTATAAATCAAACGTTCGCACGTTTATCTTCAGGATATATTCACAAATACGTACAAAATTATTTGAAATTCTATACGTACAACTGTCGCACTGTCTCCCTTGTTCTGTTCATCCTTTAAAATAATTTTCAACGACTCGGTTAACTGAAACAACACAGAGTCAACGAGAAATTATAAAAATTTCGTCCGAACAAAACTATTTCGAGAAAAATCGCATTGCGAACGTGATTGCGCGGCATAACCTCAATCTTAATCGGTATAAATCAATCTTACTGTGTCATTAATGAAGTGACAATTACATGACGTTTATCTTAGAAGGATTGTAACATGACGCAATAACTGTCAACTGACCTCATCGGTGGTGTTTTGGCTGGCTAACTGCTTCGCCTCGCTCAGGGAAAGTATGTTCCCGGTGTTGACAAGCAAATCGCGCGAAGGCATATTCGGCGAGCTTACACGAATTTCTCACGACAAGTCCGGCTTGTCGGGAAATAGTGCGAGCATTTATACGCTCGTGCGGTGCCGTGATGTCATCGATCGTGACTCTACGATTTATCCGCAGAAAAACTGTAAACGTTCCTCGAGAATATCCTATCATGTGATGTAATCTCGCGTTACGCCTATTTGCACGGAGATTGTACGTGTACTCGCAATTATCTATTATTACCGTTTTCATTTTCCGCAACTCTTGAAAATGTTTTTGAATATTTTATATCGTATATATGATCCGCGTACTCGCAAAATTATTTAGAAGAAATAAAAAAATACAAAGAAAACTAAATACAAATACATCTATGACTTTGATACACAAATTATAAATTTTAAAATAAAAAGTCGTTAAATTAATAACACAAAAAGCGATGAAGTTGCTATTGTTAAATAATTTTCTTTGATATTTAAAAACCTTTATTTTTTTTTTTTTTTTGCAGTTATTGACAAAATTTGAAGTACAAATTTTGTCGCAACACGCAAACGTGTTTTTAAAATCCTATTTTGAATTTTATACGTTTGCTGTCTCATGTATTTGCATTATATGACTTGTGCAACTATATATATATATATATATATATGATTTATACAATTTCAGAACTAAACGAAGGGCTGAAGTAACTGAACGCAACATTGTTCAGATGAAAATTCAATGTTGATTCAAAGTGTTGAAGCAAAGGAGGTGGTTCACAGAAAGAATGAAAATATCACCGCGAGTTTGCTATACTGATGTTTACGTACTTCGTGGTGGCACGCGCATAAATACTAATAAACACAATAATAATACATTTCCGATCATTTTCGCTTGTCATTCAGGCAATAGTATATCATCTGATTGTCTCGCGCGACATATTGGAGATATAATCCAGAAAACTCCGTGAAAATGCCTGTCGATATTGCCTCGTACGGATACGCCGCTTTAGTAGCCGGTGGCGGAATATTAGGTTACGTGAAGTCAAGTGAGTTCGAGAAGATCAATCACAGATTTTCTTGTTGCACGCAAGAAATTTCACGTGTCAATCAAATCTTTGATGGTTCACGCGAAGCATCAAAGAATCCACAGGTCCTGTCATCTTGGATAATCCAAATTTGTATCACTGCGCGGAAGTATCGATTTTCGGTCTTCTTCGATCGACAACATAATTTCCTATTACATAGATTCCTCAGCATATATTTTTGCTATAACATTCTTTATATTATTTACATTCATACACAGACTGGCATATGGACTAACCGATTTCGGTTCAAGAGCCACAAGCGCGCCAAACCAAATCTATCATATTCTTGTATTTGTATGCCGCAGATTCTATTCCTTCCTTGGCAGCCGGTCTTCTTTTTGGATCTATTCTGGGATACGGAGCTTATCAGATATCTCAGGATCACAAAAACATAGCAGTTTTCGCAGGAGCCAGTTCGGTTCTTGGGGGTATAATGGGATTTCGATATTATCACAGTGGTAAACTCATGCCAGCTGGAATGCTTGCTGTGTTCAGGTATATTTGCTGTCAGTTGTTAAAAAAAGATAAGTTATGTAAGAAGGTAAAGAAGAGCATTTGTGCATATCTTTTTTTTCTTAAGTTTGCAAAGAAACCAAAAAATGTGATGTTTGCACAAATGTTTGATTTTGTTGAATCAAATTGTTTTGTATTTGTTGCAGCAAATGTGTAATATAAAATATACAACTCTGACGTCAATGTTTTTGTGTACACTTTTTACATGTTGCAAAAGATTCCGAAGAAAAAGATAATGCACAAATATTATTTTTTATTATTCTTTATTCTTTTTATTGCCTATTATTAAGAATAATTATTTACAATGTTATTAATACTAGAATGTATAAATGTTTAGTACTCTCATGGTCATAAGGACGGTTGTCAGATATTTTGATACACCGCTACACGGAAGAATACAGTGAACAAAATCTTTGTGACTATTAGAAATATGTTGCATTTATGTTAATTTTAATATTATTATGTGCAAAGAAAAAAAAACAATACATATTGAGTTGACTAATAAATAATGTCGGAATTTTCGATAAAAAAAAAAATTTTTTTTTAAGTATAGAAAACTATTTAATGTATTGACCATTTTGATCAATGACTTTTTGCCATCTTGCAGGTAACTTCGTAATACTATCCTCCCAGAATTTTGCATCCTTTGCAGCAAAAAATCTTGAAACATACATTTTGAAGGCTTCTAAAGAATCAAAAGTTTCTCCATTGAGCGAATCTTGCAGAAAACGAAATAAATAAAAATCAGATGGTGCTAAGTCAGGTGAATAAGGTGGATGATTAAGAACATCCCAATCTAGTTCTCGTAATTTTTGCTGACTTTGTACCGATACGTGAGATCTCGCAGTGTCTTGATGAAAAACTACTCCTTTTCTATTGGCAAGTTCTGGTCGTTTTTCCTTAATGTTTTCGTTCAATCTATCTAATTGTGAGCAATACTTATCAGAATTAATAAGTTGATTAGGTGGCAAGAGCTCATAAAACAATATTCCTTTCCAGTCCCACCATACACACAGCAAAATCTTCTTGGGGCGTGAAATGACTTTAGGAGTGACTGACAAATTTGATTCTGGATTCCGGTGTCTTTTTTGTATTACATTGGTGTAAACAATCCATTTTGCATTTCCAGTGACAAGTCGCTCCAAAAATGATTCATTCTCGTTGCGTTTTAACAATGAATTACAAGCTGCAATTCGATCGACTAAATTTTTTTCACTTAAATTGTGTGGAATCCAAATACCATATCTGAAAATCAAACCAAGTTGACACAAATGCCTCTTAACGCTGGATTTCGATATTCCTAATATTTCGGCAATCTCTTGTGTGGTATAATGCGGATTATTTTCAATTAAACTAGATATTTGATCGTTATCGATCTCAATAGGTCTGCCAGGTCTCTCGTCGATCAAATTATAATTTCCGTCACGAAATTTTTTGAACCATCTTTGCACCGTTCTTTCACTGACAGAACCAACACCATGCATATCAGAAATATGTTTTGTTGTTTGTACCGTATTTTTACCTTGCCGAAAATAAAATAGCATAAGTGCACGATAATATATCTTTTCGCTATTCATATTCAAATCAAAATAAGTACTAAAAAAATGAAAATATAATGAACAAATATATGTATATAATTAAGAAGTATAAATAAAAGAAGACGATTTTTTCTTCCGGTGTGGCAAGTTGAAGAGTTGGTTTATAATTGCTCTAACCGTTAACTTGGGCCACTGCCTGTAAAAGTTGGAAGATAGAAAATACGTACTTACCAGAGAGAAGTCTGAAGCCCGTTCTACATTGATCGCAAGCGCAAACGCAAGGTATAGATCGCGTAGAATTAACCAATCACGCTGATCAATTGGCTGATTTGATCAATACGATTAGTCAATTCTACCAGACCAGTTCTTCGCGTTTGCGCTTGCGATCAATGTAGAACAGGCTTATTGTTGCGCGAACCAATGAGAACGTTTCGAAGTGACTCAATAGACGATCGCAATTGGCCAGTTTTCTAGTTGGTACACGTGTTCACTCGAGAAACAAGCACAATAAAACGGAATCTAAATCTGTATTATTTAAGTCTCATGCGTAAGAAGCCATATAAATATAATAAATAATCAAACGGTAAGTAACAGTGCAATATCGAAGAAAATAATTTGCCTGGTTCAACGTGTCCTTTGCGAAAAACACATACGTTGTTATTTGCGGTCAATATTCTATCGTTTTTTTTTTGTTGAAGACTCGTGTGAACACGTTGCAACCTGTGAGTGGAGAAGACTCTTCGACACAGTTACGTTGCGCTAATTGAGACAATCCTGCCGGTAATTTCCGGAAGTGTTGTTCCTTTTTGGAACGCATCGCACCGATATCTCGCCCTTGTGTAAATAGATTAAATTATCATTATTAAATAATTGAATAACACGTATTCCCGATTTCTTGCAGTTTAAACGTTCACGCGTACTGCTTGTCGCGAGAATCTAATAACTCGGATCTGATTTTTTTTCAAATTGGTAAGATAATACTTTTATTTATATTTAACAGTCGATTTTTCGTGCGACACACACAAATTGATTTCTCATTCTCGCTACGTGTAAAGTTCGTAAAGAAATGCATTGTCTCTTTTGCGATCGTTTATATCTTAAGCAGCAAAGGTTAAGTTTCACTGGTCTTCGGTGCATCAGTTTGCGAGAAATAGAATGTAGCTGTGTATTGTTGAAGTAAACGAAAATATACATGTGCTTTTTTTTTTATCTTTATTCCGCAGCACGTTCTTTTTCTCGCTTTAGAATTTATTTCTTTGTGTGTCCATACTCGTTAAATAGGTCTATGTAAAGTTTGACATTAATTATACAGGGTACGTCAATTTTTTTTATTTCAGGAATATGAAATGGCAAGAATCGTAGCGTGTATTGTATTAATTTATTTGAGTGCATGTTGTAATATATTGAGCGCAGACGAAAATGACAACAATGTCAGTGACGAAATACAGAAACCACCTTACAAAAGTCCAAATCCTGTGGGCTATGCTTATTTAGCGGAAGACTTTGACAATGAAGAAAAATTAAAAACCACGTGGATATTATCAGAAGCAAAGAAGAACGATATTGATGATGACATCGCCAAATACGATGGTTGTTAAAAATTTTTTTCGTGAGATACTCCATTACGTCGTTTTAATTTAACGATATTTAAAGTCAAAACTTTTTGATCGTATTAATAGGAATTTGGTCCGTTGAAGAATTGAAGAGACACGCAGAAAAAGGAGATTTAGGATTAGTGCTTAAGAGCCAAGCTAGACATGCTGCTATTTCTACTATGTTAGATAAGCCTTTTTATTTTGAAGATAAGCCCTTAATTGTACAGTACGAAGTTAATTTTCAAGAAGGTCAGGATTGCGGCGGTGCCTATCTTAAATTGCTCACATTAGACGAGGAATCTGGAGACTTGAAGCAGTTTCATGATAAAACACCATATACCATAATGTTTGGGCCTGATAAATGTGGCAATGATCATACGGTATTGTATCAATATGCACATTTTTTCTTTTCAATTTTTACAGTGATATAGTTTTGTATTGTTTGGTTTTTTTTTCAATATATTTTCAGCTTCATTTTATATTCCGACACAAAAACCCATTGAACGGCACAATCACAGAGAAACACTGTAAGAAGTCAAAAGATCGGCTAGAAAATTATTTCACAGATAAAATTCCGCATTTGTATACTCTAATCGTACGGCCTGATAATAGTTACGAGATCAAAGTTGATAATAAAGTCCTAAATTCGGGCTCGTTGTTAGACGATTTCGTTCCTCCCGTAAATCCGCCTCTGGAAATAGAGGATCCTGACGACAAACAGCCCGAGGATTGGGACGACAGAGAAAAGATCCCTGACCCGTTGGCAGAGAAACCCGAGGATTGGGATGAGGATGCTCCGGCCCAGATAGTCGATGAGGAGGACGTTATGCCTGAAGGGTGGCTTGAGGACGAACCACCCATGATACCAAATCCGGACGCAATCAAGCCCGAAGATTGGGACGTCGAGATGGACGGGGAATGGGAACCTGAGGAAATACCAAATCCGAAGTGCGCGGATGCCCCCGGTTGCGGCCCGTACAAGCAGAGAATGAAGAAAAATCCACGATATAAAGGAAAATGGTTGGCACCGCTCGTCAACAATCCCGATTACAAGGGAAAATGGAAACCTAAACTGATACACAACCCTGATTATTACAACGATGAGCATCCATTTAGGATGCAACCAATTGTAAGTAAAAACTATTAAACTACATGAGAGTAATTATGATCACATATGTACAACAAATTAGTGAAAACGTTTAGATGGCTGTTGGTTTCGAACTGTGGTCCATGTCTCCCGATATATACTTCGACAATATGATTATCACAGACGACGAGGAAGTTGCAAGAAAGTGGGCGGCTGATACTTTCGAAGTACGACGTGATAAAATTACCGAAGAAACCGTAAGTATTTTCTCATCAGTAATTTAGACAATTTGCCGTTCTCGGTAACACACTTGTACCGTTCACGGTACAAGTGATAAAAATTATGTATGTAAAGACAAACTTAAAAGTTTCGTCATCATCTTTCTTTCAAACTTATGAAACTTTGAATACTGATGTTGGATGATTCTTTACGTTAGTATGGATTCTAATGCATAGGAATCTACATGGGGACGAATGATGAAAGCAATGAATTATAAGCCAGGCTGGTGGGCACTTTACTTTGTGTATTGTGCCACACCAGTTGTCGCTTACATCTGGTACTTGTGCAAACGAGCACGCGAGGTATAATATTCGCGTAGACAAGTAAAGATGAAAAAAAACACACGAAACGTTAGAAGTGCTTGCTTGATGACGCATTAGAGCAAATTCTTGATCTAAATCGTATACGCAAGCGCTAATAATATATATTACACAAAATATACATGTATAAAAATGTATTTTATATTAGAGAATTTTTAGTCAGCTATTTATAGTGTTATCGCCAAATTGTAAAAATCGCGTTTATCTACTTTCTGTAACAAAGAAATCCTTTTTAGTCAAGGATTAATAATAATCCCTAAACTCTGTATGCAATTTTGCATAATAAGTTGTATAATGTGTATGTAGCATTTTTCATAATGTAGAGTAATTTTATCTGATACAGAAAACTATATTTCAACGAATCGTGTCCTTCACCGCGGCTAATCCATGGGTATGGGGAGTATACGTATTAGTAATTGCATTACTTGTAACGCTGCTACTATACTGTTGCTGCTTTAACAAAGAGGTAACGTTTGTTTAAAATATATGTATATATATAATGAGCCAAGTATTTTCACATCGCAAAAATAAAGTAGCTCGTGACCTTTCTGTTATTTGAAGGTTTTAAAGTAAATATTTTATGCTTTTGTATTTTTCTATGGTTTTAAAAGCAGAGCACATATATTGCAAGTTATTCGCACACACACAATAAGTATTTGCTTGTTATTTCTATCTATGCAAATAACACGGAAAATTTAATTGTCACTGTCTCACAAAATATCAGGATCCATCGGATCTCAAGGAAGAAGATTTCACAGGAAAAACACCTTTAGGAATAAGCGACGACATAGGCAAAGTGGAGGATGAGAATGAATCTGCAAATCCTGCCGACCAAGGAGTCGCCATAGAAGAAGTAGAAGACACAGAGAAAGAGACTGGAACTGACGAAATCATAGAAAGTGATAAGGTTAGTAATAATAAAAAAAAAAAAAAAAAAAAAAAAAAGAACTAAAGCATCTTGCAGCATAGGTGTCTGTAATTTAAAATTGCTATAATATGCAAACAATACGTTTTTTAATTATTATTTTTATTTTTAACAATACTCCGTCATGAAAACGCGCGTGGTTGTTTACAGGATACGTTGATCGGTGGCGAAGGTCCACGACGAAGGAAACCAAATAAATAGTGAAGCAAAAAAGTTGAATAAAAAATTATAAAAGAAAATTATTATATCGCTGATATTTACGTAATATACTGTCACATTCCACATTACACTTGCCACTGTGGATAGTAGGGTTACCAAAACACTAGCAAATTCAGTCACTACGATGTGATCAATAGTATTTATTCTCATCATCTATAAGGATACTTTTACTTCGTATATACATTATATATATATATATATATATATATAAGTTTTTGTCAGTATATATGTATATTTAAACGAATTATTCTCAGATTATATGCTTTTTCGTATAACGAGTGATGTGTGACGCAACTGTACTTGGAAATTCGCACGAGTGCTGTCCATAAAACGAACAATGCCTTAATAACGTATATAGTATTTGTATTTTTGGTTATAACGTGAAAAAAATGTTACAAGCGTCGAACACGCCGAATTTACTCGGTTTGATGTCACAAATCGGATATATTAGAGATAGAAGATGAAGAAAATCAAGAAGTTATGAATGTATCATGTGAATGCAAGATTCATCGTATCATGTGAGAATCAAAGATTTACAAGATTTTAATAATCGTTACATGTACTTTTTGATTGCTATGGTGAAATCAAATCTAATTGGAACACATGTACTTTACTCTTTGCTTACATGTTTAACAAAAAAAAAAAAAAACAGTTTTCACTTCTCTGTTATTTAGTAAATATGTTTGTTATTAAAAAGAAACTATTTTAATGAGTATATTTAACTGATTTTTCTAACTAGTTACAAAAATGTGTAAAAAAATGTAGCTAATATAAGTTTTTAAAGCCATTAATATGCAACAGCGGCATTTATCACTGACCATAGTAGTTGATAATTAATGATTCGTCATTATTATTATTATTACTTATTTGGTGTACTCACGAAAGTTGATGTGTTTAAGTTAAGCGAACAAGAGTTCATATGGTATATTTGTGTAATCAGGTACTATGTTGTTTGTATTGACCGTGAAATAAAATTCAAAATAGAAAAGTTAAATACATAAGATTGAAATATCATGTTTTTTTTTTTGTGATGCTACATTTTGTCTTTGTTTCGTCTATGTTATAGACACAATGTGTACAAATATGAATTACAAGTAGCCGGCATTAAATTGAAACGCGCATTCAGGGACTAGTGGCAGATATGCCGGAACTTTGATAGCACGATTTGCACGTAGGAACAGCACGCTGCGACAGATGTCCCGGTAGTTTGGTGTGCATTGCCATGCATCTCATACACAATACGTCGCCGCATGACCAACAATGGTGCTGGAAATTAGTAGAGATGAAAACAACGGAACTGACTGAAAATCAATGTGAGTCAAATGCGCTTGTCGAATACGCACTTTTTTGTTAAAAGCATCGAACGTAGTCGAGCATCCGCATTCTTCCATGTTTCGCGACGACTTCCAGTCTAAGGCTACGGTCTTCAGTTCATTTTCCAATTGATTTACTTTCATCTTGAGTTTCGCCTTTTCATCGTGATTCGTGCTGTCTATTATAGTTTCCGACAGAGTCTCCTTCATAAATTTGTTATCGAATTTATGCTTGCCCTTCTTTTGAGCATTATTTGTATCTAAAAGTTGTCCCAAAGAATTGACTCGCTAAAACCGGAAAAAAAATCAATCATATAAATTACATTCGGCATAGTTTTGATGAAACTTCAAAACGATATTTTTCTATTTTTTTAAATTAAGATACTTTTAGCAGAAGTTTCACGTGATCCTCTAAGGAGCTCGTGTGATCATAGATTGTCAAAAGTAGGTCTTCACACGTCTCTCTAGGATGTATTCCGTTCTCAAATCTGAAGTACAAACCTCTCCAGAGACTGAAAGTAACGTTGAATCAATCTTGAGTTTATACGACTAATACAGATTAAAATCTGATCAAAAGCATTGTATGTAAGCTATGTATTTATTTTACACAATAGCTTGAGGCGCCAACTTAGGCTGAAGAACGTCAGCGGAGTCTTCATTACTGTAACGATTACACCTATAGATTGGATTTATATATTCGTTCGTATTGTTCGCTAAATAGCCCCACAACGAGTACGTTCGTTCAGGTAATCTAAGAAAAACAATCTGAACAATAATTCTCTTGATTTCATCGTAATTTTGTTTTTTTTTTTTTATTACGAGAGAAAAGATCAAGCGACGTAAATACCTTAGAATCTGCCTCTCCTTCTCCGAGTTTCCGATGAACGTACCGTATTGGCAACTATGTACGTGATCGTGTAACGTTAAGAGAAAATATTCGTTGAATTGAAATTTGTTCGGACACTGTTGCAGCAACTGGTACGTTGCGTCTATGAACTGCGTAAATATCGGGGCGAGTTCTTTGCCGTCGCTACTGACGTAACCACAACGATCGCTAAATTTGTGACCAAACGATAGCCAGTCCTTTTCTATTAACGCCTTCAAAACGAATAAGCAAAGAATAAATCAAAACAAAAATTTAATTATTATTATTTAAACGCTTTTTATTAAACTCACTTGAAAGCCTTGGATGGTTCTGTAAAATGGATCTAATAGTAATGCAGCTAGAGAGCAAACTTGCGCGGTGCGATCCCAGCCGTCGCTGCAATGCACAACCACGCTTACGCCGTTTGAAACTGCGCGCGCGATGAACCAAGCGGTTTCCAGAATCGAACGAATGTGTTTTAGCCAACCGCTGCTTTCTAGGCCGCTCAAAAATGCGCTCATGGAACTCGATCTTTGTACTAAATTCGAGTATAAACGTAAGTTTAACAACAGATGCATTTTGATGTCGCCCGTGCTAAAAAGTGTTCGTACTTACAATCCAAAAGTTTATTTAAACTTGTTCTCATTACATGAATATTTTCAATTCCGAAGAAATGAAATTTGATATTATCGTAAAAATTTTCGTTTTCGTATCCCTTTCCCGCGGCTCTATTGGCAAAGGCATTAATCTGGCCCAAGAAAATCAAAAGTGAGTCTTTAAATTTTAGTTTTTTTAAATACTGATATATATCCAATGTGTGTGTGTCACATCAGAAAATAATACTCACCCGCGGTCTTGTATCGACAACATACATATACTTCGAATTAGGATTTGTACACAGTATATTATACATCATTTGTTCGTCTTCAGGGCATCTCGCGCTAAATCCTGAAAGTGGTTGACTACAGCGACAAATGGCAGCCTGTGAAAAATCACAATTTACATTCACAGTTTAAAAAAAATCTTAAAATCAGTTTATTTAAATTAGAACTCGTTTCCTGAACCTTGTTCGAATGCAAATATGTTAAAACTGGCAGTCTTCCTCTGCTTCTAAACTTTGCACTGCCCCACAGAATATTGTTAGTACATGTACTAGGAACATATAAGTACCTCGGATAAGTATTGCAAAGCTGAAAGAATATAAGTGGTTTTTTAATTGTGTCAGCGTATATAAAATAAAATAAAAAAAAAAAGAAAAAGAAAACAATGTGTGTGTGTGTGTGTGTGCTTACCTCATAATTAGTATTTAAATATGAGAGCGACCATTCCTCATTTGGAACACCTTGCCGTTGGAATTCACTTTGTACATTGAAGAAATTCCATCCTGCGTGTTGAGGTAATGTATCTTCGCTTTCCTGATAACGAAAGCAATACAAATCCTCTACACTGGCTGCATTAAAAAGATAACACAAATGTAAATTTTAAGTGCATTTTTGATTAAAAAAAAAAAAAAAACAATGTAAACACACGTATATGTTTCTATTTACCTGGACAGGACAATTTTAATAATGTAAGATAAATCTCATGGCAATCGCGTTCCTTTGGAACAACAAATGTGACGATAAAGAAATGTTTGCACTTAATAAATAATGGCGATCCGGTTGTTGTCAATGGCTGTTTTTCTATATTAGCGATATGAGTATATAATACCTGCAATTAAAACAATTTGACACAAATAATGGCTCTTTGCTCACAAAATGTTAATATTACCAATAATATTCAAACATGCACTTGTGTAACATAATATTTACCCATATTTTCTTTTTACCGCTTCTTTCAACAAAGATAAGATGCGTTACCGTCAAATAAAGAGTGCCAAAGGAATGATTATTGCTATATTTGTCCAACATTCTCACATTTTCTACCTGCAAACGTATGTTTTCCTGAAAAACTTACACTATGTATACAAATAAAAATAAACAGATGTTTGCTTAAATGCTATCATAAATGCGCATATTCACAATTGTAAGACAAATAAAACAGCAGTTAAATATACATTTTAACGATTTAAATATCTTTACATATAAAATAAACAAAAATAAAATCATAAATATCGCAGTTAGAAAATTGTTTTTGTACCTTGGGAATCCTTATTTGATCCATATCTCTCTCTGTGTATGTAATAGCCTCTTTAAAAATAAATTAATATAATATAATATCAAATAGTTATATTTTTTATTTATGTAACTTCGCGATGAGATCGAGACGCGCGTGTTCTCTATTCGAATTGTACACAGCGTGTTGAGATAATAATAATTTTAATTCTAAGGGTTAATTTAATTTATCGGCGTTTTTTTATCAAATATCTACAAGTAATAGGCGAGGTTACTATTTCCATCTCTTTTCTTACGTGCGACGAGACTGAGATATATGTTATTAAAAACGCGATATACGAACTGTCACGCCAACTGTCACCTCGATGCCAAGTACATATATGTCATTAAATACGTCACGTATACGTAGACGTTCGATTCGCGGTTGGAAACACCGAGTCAATTTCACGCTCTCTATCGCATCGCACGGGAAAAATCGGAGCAAACTTCGAATTGGTTTTGGGAGACCTCGTGCGATGGACGCGCGAGTTACGGGATACGCTCAAAGTCTTGCTACAAATATTTCGAAGCATCATTCTATCTTTATTCCTTGGTAAATGTTGAATAAACATAGAACGATGCTTCGAAACATTTGTATTGAGACTTTGACCGCACCCACGGTTTGTGACGGTATGTAAACACATCGATTCATTGTAGATAACACAGACTCGGTTGGATCACTTTCATTAATTGGAAAACCAAATCGAAAAGGGTGTCATAATGTGAAGCAATGTGAAGTGTGTACATATTACATTGCAATTGTTAAACATTGTTTGTTTTGCGAAGAAAATTCAGATATGGAGAAAACTAATACGGACAATCTGATCTCGAAATTGATCACCGGCACGTACGAGGATTTTCACAAAAATATTGTTGAATTCTTGAAAATTGTGAGTATACAACAGGATACAGGTTTTGGAGATGTATTATTAGAAGAGTTGTTATTATTTATTATATATTAAAAACAATTTCTCTTGTGTGTACAGTATGTTCGAAAAAATTTTCCTTTTTATGTTTTTGAGATTAGTATTGACGTGGCTAATCGCGAGATTCTTAATATATTTCAGTATGAAAAGAAGACTAATATTGAAGAGTTGAATAATAACTGTTTGCGAGAGAAGTTATGGAAGAAACTGTTTTATTACTTAACAGATCACACTCATGTAGATTGTCATCAACATTGTTTAGCTGCTTTAAGGATACTCAGGTAAATTTACACATACATGTAAGTTATACATATACATGTTTCATAAGTTACATAGTTTATTTGTCATATAAAGTTTTATATTCTTCTTTTTGTGGGAAAACATATTTAACACAATATTTACATATTTACAAACATATTTACAAATATATTTACAAATGTCTTTCTATGTTTCAGTCGTGACAAAACAAATTTAAATGAGTTAGTCACTGACGATGCAATAAACATAATATTGCAAAATGCAGGCCTGACAAAGATATGTGAAGGAGATCAAATCTCATATACAATTGGTGAGAACAATTAGCAAATCTCTTTCCATGTGAAGTAGATAGAAACAAATGTGAGATATAAGGTTTTTTTGAATAGTTTAATCTCAAAAATTTGAAAAGTCATATGCAGACAAGATTGTGCATTAGGTAATATGTTTTAATATATAACCATGCTTGTAATTGCAGTTACAACAGAATCACTAAAGTTACTGTGCAATTTGTTGTTCAACAGTGTAAAAATACAACAATCGAAAATATTAATATCTTGTTTACCTCATCTTATCGATCGAATCAAAAATTACACGAGTGATGTTCCTAAAGATGTCGAGTTATTTGATATGAGAATATTATTTTTACTGACTGCGTTGAATGCTTCCGCGAGAGATGTAATCAAAAACGATTTGTGCGGTGATATATATCTCATTAAAATATTAGAGGAATTTACTACACAGAATGAAGATAACAAAACAATTACAACCAAGGTTTAGTACATCAAAATAACTGATATATTTATATACTTGACATTTTGTTTTCCGAATTTACAAATCAGCTTCACGTCTCTTCGTTGTTTTCAGACTGAGGAAATATCTGTACTTTGTGAAGTGCTAAAAGTTTTGTTTAATTTGTACATGCACTCTGATAATATTGGAGATGAGGAGCAAGAAAGATACAAGAACTTGGTCTTGATTTTGTATAAACTATTAACCTTTAAATACTCAACGTCTCAAGACGATCTTGAAAGGTAAAAAAAATAATTATACTGTGATCATATTGGTGCAATGTTACTTGTATTATATATATTGTTTGACGAAATATATCTGTTCATTCTTTTTCAGCAATGTCATTAACTTGCTGACTATAATACCGTACAGCTGTTACACATCGATTGTGCAACCTGTCGATTGTAGCGAGAATGGCGAGAATGGCGAGAATGTGTATCAAAATATGGATATGAGCGCGATATGCGTTTTACTTAGGTTCCTAAATCAAAGATTAGACTGTAAGACACGTCTGATAGAGAACATCTCTCCGGTAGTTACAGCTCTGGTCAGACTCGTTAAATCGGAGAGAATTATTCGCAAATATGTAAGGTTGCAGGTATGATATTCGGAAACTATGAAAATTTGCTGTAAAAACTGCAACATATAACAGTACAAATATGTTAATTATCCATAATACTTTAGATTCTACCGCCGTTAAAGGATGTGATGACTCGTCCCGAAGTAGGAACGACGTTGAGATCTAAACTGTGCAAATTGTTAACATCGCCTCTCACGGAATTACGTGACCTAGTTGCAGAACTTCTGTTCGTCCTTTGTAAAGAGAATGGTATTTATTTGTTATATCAGGAATTTAGAGTTATAATGGTAACGTCCACGTGAGATTTCGTCAATATTTACAGTTAGCCGTATGGTTAAATATACGGGATACGGAAATGCGGCCGGGATGTTTGCCAACAAGGGATTGTTGGGACGAAGTCAAACGGAAACAACTTATTCCTCCGAATCGGAGGACAGCGACACTGAGGAATATCTAAAATACAAGGAACAGTAAGTTAACATTGACAAAAACTATTTTTCCAGGACAGGATTGAAATTTTATTAACAAGCTGTTCTATCTGGTTCAAGAATAAACCCAGTAACCGGATGTTTCGAGCATCCCAAACTGAATCCGCTTGAAGGCATGACGGAAGAACAAAAAGAATACGAAGCCTTACAATTAGTAAATCTTGTTGACAAAATGACGAGGTAAATTGTGTACATGAGACGTACATTGGACTTAATTTATTCGACAGAAATCATAAAGAACACGTAATTCTTGTCTAGGGAAGGAGTTGTACGCCCCTGCCGTATTGGCGAGGACGGAAAACCGGCCCCTATAGAGCACGTTCTTGAATTGCAAAGTGAATTACCGAAACAACAATATGTTCGCAAGGATTCCGACTCCGAATAGATAAATTTTTAAACAAACATTTTTAAATAAACATTCACATGTATATCTATATATAGAAAAATCTGTATAAATGTAGTAATGTTTTTTCCGAATAAAGATCTAAATGTGAAACTTTATTAATGAGAGCATCGCAATTTTACCAGATATCAAGAGGCAATGCCGCGCGCCAAGTTCACGCGCAACAAAGTGGCGCTTAAACTAAAAAGCTTAATTGGTGCTGCTTTCTGATATCATTTTTTAAAATAAAGTTTTGTAGAGAAAGATTTTTTTTTGTGTATAAATATTACACCACAATTGTCAATTTACGCAAATAAACGGAGATTGTTTCGCACAAAATAAATCGCATTTCTGGAACAAACAAGGCAATAAAGAGACGGTAACATTTTAGTTGATTACTTTATTGAAAAAGAACAAAGAACAACATTACAAATTAAACAATATATTGGCAGGAAATAAAAAATATATAACAGTTTCCAAAATCACATGAAATATTTTTAAACATTACAATTTTGGTAAAATGTGTTATGTGCTTTGTGAGCATCACAATATATTATTATTGCATTGCAGCCTATGCGCAGACGAGAATGTATATTCCTACACTTCAAATAACTGCATAGTGATATATCTTTGAGAATATCTTAGTATAGGATAGTACAATATGAATTGACAGGTAATAGCAAAATTGAGTTGATATGATGAAGCAATGTGTACGATCAACAAAGAACATTTATTTATTCATTAATTTTTTTTGTTTAAGGCTAAATCTGTGTCCATCCTATAATAAAATATTTTCAATACATATTTGACAAATATATAAGTATAGCAAATGTCATATCTTTAATTATGTAATACAGTATGTAGATTAAAATATTTTTTTTTCTTTTTTTTGTAAAAGTGTATATAGATGTGTATACGTATAATACCATAAATTTGAATATATTTTTATATAAAAATGGAACTAAAATTTTTTTGTGTAGGTATAAGATAGAAAAAAAGCTGATTTGCCGTAAATAAAAAAAAAATAAAAAAAAAATAAAAATAAAAGAGGGAGAGTTAGATCTGTTACAAATATACGAGGGGAGGGCGGGGGAGGACTAGCCTTGTGTGACGAACTTTGGAGAAGAGTAAAAATTGTAAAACTCATAAACTAAAATATTAGACATGTACATATTCGAAATACTTCAAAATATTCAAGCAGTCTAGATGAGACCGGGGGACATATTTATTTAATATAAAGGCTGAGTAGTTTCTTTCACGAGAACCGATTTGTGTGTACACAGTCAAGATTTTTTTTTTGGACGTGTATAACTCTAAAAATAATACGTTACATTATAAGATGACCATGCTTCTTGGCATCTCATTAGCATATAAAAAATATATTGGTATACACGCTCTCCATATTGCATTTACGATTTACTTCTTTTTCGTCTCAAGTTGTACTATTCTTATACAGTTTACATTTTGAAGTATAAGTGATGTGTTGGAACATTCAAAACCTTTTTTTGTGTGTTTTTTGGTTGTTCAGAAAGAATCGTTCTCTCTATGTAAATACCAATGGAGGTTTCGGGAAAACATGGTGTTTTGTTCTTTACACACGTATAAGAGTAAATTCGCGATATCAGTTATTCAAAGAGCTATTGCAATATTCTTTGTGTGTACAATGTAAGTCATCTATTGTTAAAAAAAAACAAAAAAAAAACAAAAAAAAAAACAATGTGAATTTATTCAGATACAAGACAGAGATATATTCAGTTTATGTGTTAGAGAGATGAAGAAGAAAAATAATACTAAATTAATTTTGCATAGAGAAGAGGGTGATGCAGCAAGGCTAAACTTTTGGTAAAGTGGCAATCTTTCTCGATGCGCGACAATTGCTAAGAGTTTCTTTTGCTCGCACGCGACAAACGTTATTCACGTGTAAATAAATGTCTTTAAAAAGCCAACAAGAAGTTTCATTAAAAGGAAAACTCGATGTTTCGATGTGTCGCTTTACCGTAAAAAGTTTCTCTTGTCAGTCAGCCTCGTGATCACTACTTAAAAATAAGTTGGAAATATGGAGATCACCAAAACGGGTTATTTTATCGAAGGTATGCCTATTTACAAGCTAAGACTTCTCCAGCATACCGGGTTTGGAATGCAACTGTACGTGACGGTGTTTAGTGGTCAATTTGATATGTAAACAAAGTACCTCCAAAAGGAACGATGTGTATGTCGTAATATCCAAAATTAATATTACGTATATGTTGTATACATTAGGGCGATATAGCGAAAGCATTTCTTCACAAACTCACTCTTTCTCTCTTTCTTTCTTTCTCTCCCTCTCTCTCAGCCTGTTAAGTAGAGTACATCGAGTAAACTAATGCAAAATAAATAAAGCTAGTGCTGTTTGAGGAATGAAACCAAGTAACAGTATATACGCCATGTAACACGTCTTTCCGCGTTTTTTTTTCACTTATCATCTAAAGAGATAGAATATATATTAAATATTTGTACTTTAACTGACTAAGCAAGGATTTAATCGTAATTTTTTTTTTTTTTGTTTTCTTACTCTAAGAACTTCGATATACCCACACGACGCGAGAACGCAAAAAAGACGAATAAAATATAAACTTACAAGAAAAAAAATAAAACAAATATAGAGTAAAAGAGCAATATACACGTTATATAAATACTCTGATTAGTCTGTGTTTTGGCACTAAAGAATTTAACTCTCTATTCCGTGTAAAGTGAAGGATAAAATGATCGACCTTACATTTTGTTTCATTTTGGAATGCAATTAAATCCATTTAAGTAGAATTATCAACACGTCTCTCTCTCTCAATACTTTGTCACAATCTTTACGAACTAATCATTTTTTTTCTATCTTTTGCACTGAGGTAATATGACAAGCCAACGTATACATAATATTTCGTTGTCATTCCACCTCAAATTGAGTATTTGAAACGAAGAAAAAAAATGACGACAACAATAAAATTTAAAGCAAAGACAATAAACGAGAAAAGAACACAACTAAAATGCAATGAATAATAAGAAACTGATCTCAATAACGTTTTGCTTTTTTTTTTCTTTCAAATAACACAAATATAACTTTATCAAGAAAATTATAAAATAAATTAAACAAGACAATATAATAAATAATACAAATACACGTTTATGGAAGCAGTTTTCGTTGAATCGCGTAAATAAAAAGAAAAAAAATTGTAATAGATCAAAATAGCAAGCTCGTAGCAATACCTGCCGAAAGACACAGGTGTGATCTCTAACGTATCCAAATAAGTAACGCTGCAACAGCGTCGGAAACAGCCAATCGAACACATAACAGTGCTTGCGTAAAAGTAACAATATATAAGTTCATGTATATGAGACTGCAGAGTAAGGAATAAAAATATTGAATTACTTTATAACACACGTTGCATTATATACTCGAGAAATGTCAAAAAATATAAAACAGTACAGCTTAGAATAGTTGCTTAATGTGAGTTTGACTTCGTTCAGAGGATGTATAAATATTGTAGATATGAGAGAATTTTTTTTTTTTTTTTTTTTCAATCGAATTCAAAATTCTAGATATGTATAAAAAATGTGTAAGCAATCGTTACAATACAAAAATAATGCAAAACGCGCTTTTAATGAATTATATGACGTTTCCTTTGCTTTTGATCATATATAGAGATCTTCCTTATTTGTAAATTCAAATTGTGTGCACTCTCAAGTTATGACAAGTACAAACCGAAATAAATTGCACATAATTTAAGCGTTAATTTACACGTCTAGGTGAAATGAGAGATACAGAGTTGTGTTAATTTTTGCGCACTCTCTGTTTTGAGATAACTCGTTTTTTTTTTTTGTTACGCTTCTCTTTCATTTATAATCAGCTATATAATGTTAATTGGCCATGCCCTAATCCAATATAGCAAAGTCATATTCTTTTTTAGGATTCTAGGAAGACTATGATTAACCGTAGGCTAGAATTCAGTTATATGTCGTGTCATGTGTGTTTATAATCTTATTATTTATATAATTGTATATAGATGTCTCGTTAATGCTTATGAACAGTAAACTTCTTATTGTATACATATATATATATATATGTTTTCTTTTCGAAATCAGGAACATATTTGTGTGTGAGATATAGCAACAATTTTTTTTCTTCAAGTACACGACATATTTTACGATTGACAAAGTATTGTATCTCACAATTCAGATCATATATATATGTATATATATATATATATATGAAATAGAGCAGCTTTTAAAGTGTTTCGTCTTCCTTAATTTGTGAAGTAAAATTTGTCATCGTAAAATAGTTGGTTTGTAAAACAGCAGGGTTTTTCTTCAAAGCAAAATTTTGAGTTAGAAATTTACAACGTTGATTTATATAAATAAAAAAAAATGACGACTACAAAAACTTATCAAAGAAAACCGCATTGTAATTGAAATTCTCATATCAAAAAAAATTCTTGGTTGTGAGGGTAAGTAAAGTGACAAAAACAAAAAAAAAAAGAAAAAAAAAATAGAGAATTCCACTTGAAATTATGTCGGAGACAATCTGTGGCACCTAAAAAGGCCTTGGAAGTTTGTATAGCAATAAAAATAGTATACTGCTACGGTGATACACAGAAAACCTATTGCATATTCAAAATATGATTTTTTTTTTTTTCGATTACACCGCCAGTTGTAAAACTGTTTAGTGTGTGAATAAAGTTTCATATGAGAGCTTTTTATTATTAGTTTAACAATATAAGCAAAGTTTATCTATTACGTACAGAGTGACTATATAATTCTATACATATTAGGATAATAAGACTTTTGAGATTGTAAAAATCATCAAAAAATCTATCACAATTACCATTCACGTAACAAGTAATTCTCGTTCTCTCTCTTTTTTTATATTATTGTTGTAATTTAAACATCAAGGCAAATAAGGGGTGAATTTCAACAGTGGCCTAAAATTAGCCAAGTAGTCTTCCACAGATAAAAATATGTAAATAGAGTAAATCTATACTAAAATATTGAAGTATATATAAGGTGAGCGTAATATAATAATTTTGTGAGGTAAAAGACCCCCCTCTTCTTTTCTCGTTAATGGTCATCCATTCGTTAATATGAGTTTCTTTAATATGACTGGCAAAAATTTTGCAACATTTTTCTCTTTTTGAATATCTTTTTTTTTTTCTTTATATTTAACGTATATCATTAGAGACGATCGACGAGTCCGCAGTACGGTGTCTTTGTGCCTGTAATAACACCCTGCCAGACGGCATCAATAGTTGTCTCACGTTGATAGACTTCTAATCAATATTTACCTAGCAACAACATCAGAGACTCTTTAAGGACACAACTTATCCTGACGATACTATTATCACAGGCATTATTTATATAACTCTGCTATAACCATGACTATTAAATATTTCAGAATTAGTTTTTTCTTTTCTTTTTTTCTGTTTTATATATAAAATTAAAACTTCTAACGTTATACGAGAGATGAGTACGACTGATTAGTTTTTTTTTTTATTTTTTTTTATTTTTAGGTGTATGTATGTAGGCTTCGTGCAATTTTACTAATGCCGATGTTTTACGCGCAAACTTTAAAATAGCCTCCTAACTGCCCGTTTTTTTTTTTTTCTAGTTTATCTTTCTCGTTCGTCTAATTTTTTGTTACTTGTTTCACAAGAATAATGAAAATCAGACGTTTATCAATAATTTTTCTGTATGCAAACGAATCCGATAAAGCTAGTCAAGTATAAATATATATATATGTGTATATATATATGTATATGTATATATATATTGTGTATATGGATGTGCTACCTAGCATTTGGTATGGCAAGATAGTATTTGTAATTAAACATTATTGTAGATAATGTAAGGTAACACAGTGTAGCAATCTGCCAAATATCCGACGTACATGTTATATATACACATTGCATTTTAGTTCAATCAAATCTTAAGGCTGATCATGTAAACAACCCTAAAAAATATGTGTATTTCTATATATGTATGTTGTCTCATGTGGTTTTTCTTTTTCTCTTCATCATGGATTACGTTAATATATACACAAATAGAGGTTGTTTATAGCAAACTGTACGTTATTTTTTTTTTTTTTTTTTTATGTATAGATAAAGTATCGTCCCTATGATACCGGTGGTATGTATATATATATAATATATATATGTACTTACGAACCATATATAATAATTTATTACACGAAATCGTTCCCTTTCTTGCATTGTAAAAAATGCGCGGGAAGGATTTCTGTAATTTCATAACAAATATACATTTACATGGATACATTATTATTCACTAGCACCACGAACCAATAATTCACACACGCATATATATCATATTCATATGGTGGACCATAATAAAGCATCCTGAGTAAATATTGTAACCACATTATGTGTCCCGTCTAAATTTTAACAATGCACAAATGGGATCTACTCGATTTGTTTCTCGTAAATGTAAATAATTATTTCACTTGTTTTTATGCTCAAAGTATTACTCTCTCTCTTTCTCTCTCTCTCTCTCTGTACGACATTTTCTCTTATATAAGATTTTAAATGTTTGATTTTCAACATACCATAATCTATTCCTTGCACATTAACGTCGTTTTTATATTAAATGTTCTCAACTATCATTTTTTTTTTTTTTCAAACGCGCAGAAAGAAATGAGGAACATATAGCTCTTGTTAAGCATTCGGTGCCTGCTGCAATGAGGAGTATCCTTTCATTCCCTTCTTTTAGAGTTACGATATGATAAGAATAGGAAGTATACTACTGACTACCTCGCAGCATGCAACGTATTTTTTTTTTCGTTTTTTTTTTCTATTAAGCGGAAAATTTTGATCCTTCTCATCGTAAAATTTATCCTGCCGAGTTTCTCTTTTTTTTTTGTCGTTATTTTTAGTGTTGTTGTTTTCACTTTGAAGTTCTTACAAAGGAAAAAGTTTTTCTTCTTTTAAATATTATCTGTGCACTCTTATATATTGAAGCGTCTGTTAGGGCTAAGAAGACAAACATTCTTATCAGGTTAATAAAACTCAAGACGAGAACGTCTTATTTTCGAGCACGAATTGAAATTATATCATATATATATAAAAAGTGCTCGTTGGAGACTAGAATAATTTGATTTGTAAACATACTTAAAATACTGACATGTCAAAAATGATGTACAACAACCAATTTTTGACGGAAGGCCATTGTAAATTGCTTTCTCTACTACAAGCGACTCAACTTGTCGGTTGGTTGACATAGCTTACTGCTTCTCTCCTTTAAAACTTGGGTTTTACTTAATTAATTTAATTTACTTTGGCAGTTTACCAAAATTCAAGTTGCTAAGTTACTATTTATACTGTTTGGTCGGAGACGTACATTATCTTTCTGCATTTTTTTCAACAGTATTTACTTTCATAAAACGGGGACGCATTATCATTATCATTATTATTATTATTTTTACAACTATTAAAGCTGCATGCTGCACTTGTATCTATTGCTTCAATAGGCCCAAAATTCGAAACGCAATGCCTTGGGCAATGTCTTTCTTATCTTTCGTTGAGAGCAGTTTCCAAGAAGGTTTCCACTTGCAGAAGGAAGTTACAACATACTTACTCGCTGATTCCACTTCATAATATATAAAGAGTGTTCAACACAAGGACATGGTGGTTGTTTTTGGCCAGTGTTACAATATATCCTTCCGAAGTTATCTTCAACCCGCAACATCGAGACACCTGAAATATAAGATAGCAATAATGAAAATTTAAAGAAGTCAAATGAGACAAAATGCAAATATTTATTAAACACGTCTAATTGCTCAGTACTACGACATATTATTACTAGCAATTAGATTGTTCAAAATATTAATATTATATATATATATATATATATCAATTTGTATGTAAAAAATGTGTACCTTTACATATGGACATTCAAATTCGGAAATTAAAGAACCAGCTCTAGAGAAGACAGCTACATGGAAACGATTACCATGCGAATCTCCTATTAACACGTCTCCTGCGTCGCTAATGTCAATCCCATTAGGGAAGTTTGTTACATTCTCACAGCCAATGCGACGCAAAAATTTACCTTCTTCGTTGAAGACGACGACACAATGTCCTTTAAAGTCGCACACAAAATATTCTTTGCCTAAAAATACGTGTATATATGATTTTTATATTTCAATATATATAAAAAGTTATTAAATGTAAAAGATGGAAAGAAAAGAATAATTCTTACCACTGATAGCAATATCACTTGGTTCTCGCATGTAGTCACTGCAATCAAACCATCTTAAGAGGTCTCCGGTATCACTGATTACGAACACAGTTGGCGACACACTGTCAACAGCCACAATGTGCCCTTGGCTGGTAACAGCTAGGCCAGCTACGATATCGATGTAACGAATAGCAATTTTTTTTATAAAATGACCATTCTTTGTGAATATTTGCATTCGGGATCGCTCGTTTCCGCGATCGCAGACAACAAATTTTCCATTATTCCTCATTACGGCTACTTTCCGAGGATACCATAGTTGTCCTTCTTCCTTTCCAGGAACGCCAAATTGAAATTTGAAGGTACCAGTCTTATCAAATACCTGTAATCAAAGTACGTATAAAAAAATTAGTTTTTTTAACGTATCTTCTTTAATAGCGCTAATATTATTGTATGCGTTGTTATTATAAATATTAAGTACCTGAATTCTATGGTTATTTGTGTCAGCAACTATAATATCCTCGTCAGTTCCCAGACAAAATCCATGAGGCGAGTTGAACTGTCCTTTACTGGGTCCTAATTGCCCAAACTTGCTTCGGATATGCATAGGAGTCAGTTTTGTATTCTGAGACCTCGGATGAGCAGGATAATTGCCTGTTCCAGTACCGGGCACATTGCCAACGGTATTCCCCACCACTACAGGCATATTATGTATAGAATCACTTATTAAGTCATCTGAAAGCAAAATATCGATTGTAAGTACATCTGTTTTGTCTTTTTTGTTGCAACTAAATATCACTGTATGCACAAATCAAACTGATCTTACCTGCACTCTGTGAAAGTATCGGCGAAGTGGAAGAGGACAATGATTGAAATCCTCCATTTAAAAGACTATTGGCAGCCAAGGTGCCCAAAGTCGGAGTGTCCACAATGGCTGGTGAGGGTCCACGTCCCAATACCAATCCACCACCGCCATTAATGGTTGCATTTCCCAGATCTGTTTGTTAAAACAAAATTTTAGTAATGCATTTATCGCCATAATTGTGAGCAGAAACAACACGCAGTGAAATCGTCGTTATGCTTCTTACCTTGGTTACCAAGAGTGTTTCCCAACTTTGCAAGAGCTTGCAAGTTATTAATGGCGTGACTCGTTGAACTTAAATCTCCAGCAAATAAATCTGCCAAAGTAAAGGACGGAGTTGGACTAGGACTTGAGCTAGGTCCGACCACACCGGTATCGCCCATCTCGACTTTTTCCGCCAGACTAGCCAGTTGTTGTAAATTGTACTCTTGAATGCTAGTCAGTCCGTGAATGGGAACTGTACCTGGTGGAGGAAGAGACACGGGTGGTGGAGGAGGAGGAATATTTTGAGGACTCGAAGTTGGTGGTATAACAAAGGAAGGTTCACCTTCAAACGAGGATTGCATCGACGTAGGTAGTGAAATGGGAGAGCTTGTGCTGATGGAACTCGGACAACCTATTGAAGTGGTGTGAACTATTTGTTGATTCGTAGTTACTCCCGTCGAGACTGGTTCAGGGATAGCTTTCACTTCGGGTGTGCTTTCAGTATGAAATTTTCCAAATACTTCCTACAATTATTGATCACAAAAAGATGTTACAAATGACATAATTAAAACAAACAACAATCGGCATGATGGCGTTATAATTATTATAAATTATTTATGAGAATATATTTACCTTTATAGTTTTCTCAAATTGATCATAATCGGTTCGAAACTCAATAGAGAATGTAACATTATGTTTCGGTGTGTTTTTTATTAAGTTCACTAATTGAGCCCCCACAATACGACGAAGGGCTAAGATTTCTACCGCATCGCCGTGTTCTAGAAGTCTCAAAGTGAAACGACAAGCGTCCTCTATTTTTTCAACTGTCTTCTCAACACTGCAATAAATTTAAAAAAAAAACGTAAGTAAAATTACCTATTATTATTAACTAAATTCTGCATATATTCAAATTCAAAATAATTTCATATGTAGATATATATAAAATATATACCTATGAAAAGTGTCCATTATTTCAAGTTCTCTGTTTGAATGCAATTTCTCGAGTTCATTTAATGCATTATCTTTGCATTTCTCCAGTATGGCCTTGTAACTTTGAAAAGTCTCCATAATAAGATCTTTTGCTTGGTCATGTTGTACTTGCAACTCGCTGAGTGCATTATCCAGTTGTTGTGATACTTGATCGCATTCAGTGATTTTTGCTTTACTTTCAGTCATTAAACTTCTTAATTCTTCTTTCTGTCGTGGTTCAGCATCTGTTAATCGTTCGTATTGATGCTCTGGTGCTTTGTGTTCCACAAGTAGACACTCATTGCATATAGGTTCCTAATTATAAAATTTATAAGATTTGAAATTCTATGAATAATAACATTATACACAAATGCATTTTTATACACTCATGCATTTTTCAAAATTTCAAGAAATTCATAGTTGAAAATGCTATTTTATTAATTTACATAAATATATAAAAAAATTACAATACACTTCCATAGATTACAATAAATTAATGAATTACTCTCAGCATGTACAATCCTTATGTTAGAACAGAATGATTTGGCACTGTTTCAATTTTTTCTTACCAATATTTACAACACCATTGGATATATACAAATGTTATTGAAAGCTTTGCCTTCATCTTACCTGGCACGTGTAACAGTAGAACTTCATATTCTCAGCAGGATGACATTCACAGAATATTGGCTTGTGTATTGGAATAGCTTCGTTGGATTGCTTTAAATCTTCAAAGGCAACTACTTTATGATTCTCAAAGCAACGCATAAACTGATGCGCCGTGTTGCAATTTGGACACAAAAAATTGGCGCAATCCGAACAGCGCGCCACCGCGCTTTCTTTGGCCTTGCACGAGGTACATAGTACTGCCATGTTTTCGATAGCGGACATGTCCAGTATATTTGTGAGAACATAGTCGCACATGAGCGACGCAGCGCCCTTAGAACTAACGGAAGTCTCTTGGTGGCATATGGAACAGCTTATGACAGAGCCCACCTTGGAGTCACCCGCCTCGTCCATTAGGAGCTTGTCCAGACAGGCCTCGCAGAATACGTGAAGGCAGGAGAGCACCCTGGGCGAGCACAGTTTGCTCATACACAAGGCGCAACCTTGATCGCTGGTCTCGCTGTTGCCACAGGTCATCTCCTCTAGGGCATCACCAGGATTGACGGTGTTGTTATAGCCACCGACGGAGTTGACGCTACGATCGCCGAATATATCACCGCCGTCGATCTCCTCGGAGCCAGCTGAGGCGATGCTGTTATTATTGTTATTGTTGTTCGCGGTCGGCGGTACCGTGGCGGCACCGGACGGAACAGCTACCGTGGACGATGCCATCCTTGCGCGATGCTGTTTACGCGATCCAGAGACAAGGGGAAGAAGGAGGAGGAGCAGAGAAGTGGTGTCCTCCAAACGTTTTATAACTTATCTACGCCTGCGAACTGGGGAGATCGTCGCGGGGGTGGGGTGAGAAGAAATTTCTCGTGGATTATATTCTTCGCTTTCTCCTAAAATTTTCACGTCTCCACGCGGCTTTGTGCTAGAGCTTGTGAGAGAGCGGACGAGAAGAACTCTCGTTTCTCGTCTCTCTTTCTCTCTCTCTCTCTCTGCGAAGATGCTCGGACTCTCACGAAGCGCACGACGCTCGAAACATCGTACTGTCGCGCTCGCTCGTTCGCTCGCACGCACGCACGCAACGAGAAACAAAACACGAGACAATTGGGCCTGCTGACTGGATCTTCGTTCGTGCGATAATGACGCAAGGAAGTCGCGCGAAAAACGAGACGCACGAAAGAGACGCGCACAGGAGCGTGAGTGTTGGAAAAAAAATCGAATCCAGCCTTCTCGCTCTTGCTCTCTCTCTCTCTCTCTCTCTCTCTTTCTCTCTCTTTCTCTCCTTCGCGATCCGTGATGCGTGCGTGTATGTGCGCGACTAACGGTTCGCGTCGATATATATCACGCAGTTTCTTATTTCGATATCGCTCCCTGTCGTACGACGAACAACAAGAGAGAGGAGGGGGAAAGAGGGCTCACGCGAAAATCGCGGGATCTCTCGCACAGCTGTGTGTGTTCACGATCTCTCGTGGCGTACACACTACGTTGTATATAAATTTATTTACATCGCACTCGCCGCTCGCACTTCGTCAAGAGATCGCACAAGCTCGCCGTCGCCGTTCTTCGGTGATGCACTTATACTGGGGAGGCGGAGGAGAGGGGAGGGGAAAAAAACTTCCCCGATCGTCGTCGACACGGCGCGCGATCAACGCTGCAGATATCGCGTATCGAGAACGGTCTCGACCATAATTTCAGTCCCGAGGGTTTAAAAACTCGGTTGGCGCGGGACGTTTCTCACTTTCGTGCACGGCGACGGCTGTGATTTCGCCTCGTTTCTGCGGATGCCTCGGCTGCGATCACCTCGCAGTTCTTCATACGTGGAACAAACGAATGGATCATTCGAACCGAGAAGAGCTCATCCCCTCGACGCAGCAGAAAGTCTGTAGTCTGTCGCAACACTGAGATGGGAGATTCGCAATTTTCTGCGTGACAACGGCAAATCTCTGAAGATGAACGCGGACGTTCATTGGCGTTTCAATGCGAGCATTTCGATGAAAACGTCTCGCTTGGACGCTTACGCGATCTCGGATTGGACGGATGTGGAAGCAAAACACATTCGGGATGCGTTCCGAGTTACGCATATGAGCGCATTTGTCTATACTATACGTGACGTGTACTATAAAAAAATGCGCGCGTATGCGTAACTCGGAACGCAAGCCTTTGTCTCAACCTTAGACCATATATACTTATAGACACGGCTTCAGACAACTATCTTGAAGCAAAGATAATATCATCTACATGACGTCACATGTGGGCAAAGCAAAGGCGCGTTTATAAACGGCTTCAGATAACTGCCTTGAAGATAAGATAATATCATCTACGAGGCCGCGTTTAGCCATTGCTGAAATGCCCACATGTGACGTCACGTAGATGATATTATCTTTGCTTCACCTCGACTCGTGGATTTATATCTACAGGCCGTGTCTATAAGTATACATGGTCTAAGGTCTCAACTCTCGAGCGTTCATGCGTAGCGACCGCGTGCGCGCAACGCCAATCAGCGGCGAACGAACGCACAGCTGACGACTACTTGTGTTTAAATGAAAAGCGGGCTTAAAATCACTTCTCCTGGGAGACCGAAGCGCCAAGCCACATAAGCTAGCACTTGTGGCATGTACCTTTATATTCTCCAAATAAAAAAAAAAAAAAAAAAAAAAAGACCGAAGCGCCATGTTTAAATAGACGCACGTAAAGAGATTAGCGAGAAGTAAAATTTTATTTTTCGGTCTCACAAAAAGTCTCAAAAAAAATCCTTGCAAAACCGCAGAACGAGGTTCATCCGAGAGAACAAGTTTCAACCGTGAAGAGAGCGGAAAATTCTTTTTTTTTTTTTTATCAATCATCTATTTCTCGTATATATTATTATGCGCAAGGGAGAGAGTGATTGTATATTTTTATACGTGCGCTTTTTTTTTGCAGACAATATATATTTAGAAACTTATTGACGTTTTAAAGGTCAAAGTCGTGAAGAAAAAAGATCCGTGGAGCGAGGAGGTTCTCGCGCGCGGTTAAATGTCAAATCGCGACGGCCATTTTCCTTCCTGTGTGTTTTCATCAGATTTTAACGTCTCGTCGCGCACACACACGCACGCACGCACGCCCGAGAGACACGCGTTACACCAGCTGACGTATATCCGTAATATTGAAGTATACCACACTAATTCGGTCGACGAAGGAATGATACACAACCATGTAAAACGGGACCATAATCGCACAATAGAGCGATACGGAAGTGGTGCGCGTGGAGAGTTGAAACTTTGCACGATCATTTCGCATAACCTTGTTGTCAGCTACGGTTAAATCGAAAGCCGAATGTGCTTCGGAATTGTGAACTGCTGAACCTGCTGTGGTGTCACTTGCTGCAAACGGTGAGTTTCTCGAACGGGAGGTGAGAAGCGGACAGTGAGATCTCGAGAAGTGCACATTTAACCAATAGAAGAGCTTTTCTCGCGATATGTTCGACTGTACAACAAAAAAAAAAAAAAAAAAAATATAGTTCTATTTGCGCGAGCTTTGCAAAACTCGTCGTTTCAAACTCATATAAGATGAGTGTATTTTATCAAGCGAGGGCACCGCAAGGCTTGACATCTGGACTCCACTAAGATCAACAGATCGAATGTCGTAATAAGAAAAAAAAAAAAAAAAAAAAAACAAATCTGGAAAAGAAACGCATGAGAAATAGTGCGCGATAAGTGGGAGAGAAGATTGCGAAAGACGACGATGAGAGAAGTGGAAGCTGCCACGATGGAATTGTTTTTTTTTTCAATGAATCTGTGATTTCTCCTTAACAATAACATGGCAGTGTTGTTTTTACACTTTTGTAATGTAAAATGTACACAGAGAAAAGAAATGCTACGTGTGTTATTTAACTTTGTTACTTGTATATTATTATTGTTTAAAAAAATTTAATATATTTCATTATAAAATATAGTGCGTTATAAGAATCAGTCAAATATTTGTTGCCATTTGATAAAAGTGATAAATGTCGAATGATAAAAAAAATTATACACTTAGTTTCGTAAATAAATAGAAATCTGTAAATGCTTCCAGATGTCGTTGACCTTTCAGCAGATCATACTGGATGCCAAAAAGTTGGTCATTCGAATCTCTGATCATGAGAACACCGCAGATACTTTAATAAGTGAAGTGGAAGCAGTATGTGGACAAATTGATAATATGAAACAGGTGAATATTATATGAGTTATTTACACAAAAATGCCACATTTATTGATAAATGGCTATATATATATATATATCGGATTTTTACAGTATCAAGAGGAAGTAGAAATTTTAAATACGGAAGCGAAACAAAGACCGCACTTGCAATTAATTGCTGGAATCCAAAGAGAAAATAGACACTTACGAGAGATACAAGCTGAAAATAAAGAACTGAGAAACGCATTGGAAGACCATCAACACGCGCTTGAACTTATAATGTCCAAGTATCGACAACAAACTGCCTCTTTATTGCGTCTCAGTAAAACCGATTTCTCATCGTTACACAATTCAAAATATGCTAATGTAAGTATCGTACATATGAGAAAAGATAATGTAAACAAAAGATAATGTAAACATATTTATTTTATTAATATGTAGTTGTAACCGTGTACATATTTTGCGTTTTGTATTCTCTCTACACAGATAATAACCAGTCAGGCTGAGAAAATTAATGAAATGGCAGCTGTGATGAGAACAGCTGCCGCCTTAGACGAGGAAAACGAATTGAAAGAGAAGGAAATGTTACATTCGCTAAAGGAAGAGAACGCCACGCTTCGGGAGATAGTAAATGTTGCGAATAAATTTGGTTCCTTAAACAAAGAATCTTCTGTAGACAACAAAACTGTTCAAACGGATCCGCCGATAGATTAAAGAAATTTACTCTTAGAGCTCTCAAAAACCCTTTTTTATAACAGACCAGTATTTATTTCACACAAACCGAGAGAATTCGTATGACATTTATTATTAGATAGAAATCTGTTATAGGCGAAACGTGTACGTGCACACAAATTGTAGTATATATACATATACGTATTAAGCATTTGTAATAAAATTGTACAAGTTATTTATCACTGCATTTAATTTGGTTTGTCTTATAATTTACATTGTTTTTAATAATATCTTGTGCGTATTTTTTTAATCGACACTTAATTTTTTTTAGAATGCTGGATAAAACTAAAACGGAAAAAACTTTTATATCACAAAGAGAAAAGTTTCTCTATTTCGAGAAATTTTCTTCGAGATCCGGAAGAAAATTCTAAACTTTGCTTTTTTTTCTGACAAATTTGCGAAATTCCTTGATAATCCTCAAGTCTTACACTTCAAACCTACCTGCTTTGAAAGGAATGACTAGAATAGAAATCTATTTTAAAAAGACGATCAGGTACTAAAGAAAGATGAAAAGGCTGCTGAAAACTATCAAGAGGTCAATGACCCAGAATCCTATACGTGAAATTCGAACTCCGTGCGGAATGTCGCCGAAAATCTTCCGTTCTTTTGAAGTCTGTGGGGTAATCGTGTTAAGACCTAAAAGTTTAAGTTTATTTAACTTTTTATTAAAAGTTTGTTTATTTATTTTTTCAACAAAGTGCATTTTAAAAACCATTTTAGAAATCATCTTCTGTTCTAATTAGCTTGCGGAACAGTTAATAAGCTTAACTACATCACGTCAGACTATTTTGCATTATTACGAGATTGGTCCACGTCGCTGTACGAAAACAACCTTATCATATACGAAATTTATCTCAGCGTTTGACTCCTAATGACCGTTATTATCTCTCACCGATTGATCAGTCCGAGAATAAGTCTTGTACGATTTGTATAAATTTATATATTGGTCTTAAAATTTATCTCGTTTAAAAAGTTATACATTTGTACAAGTAAGTATAAGTTTTTTCTCTCGTATAGTTAAGTACTAAAAAAAAGAGTTTTGTACAATTTACAATTTATTTGTTAATTATAGGTTGTTAGATATTTTTTGCAATAATATATTTCTTAATTAAATTTATAATAAAAAGATGAAGAAGGATTTCTTTCTATACACTAGACGCAAATCAAGCATTCGATATGGATTGTCGAATTAATTAATTTTATGTGAGTCAAAGAATTTATTTACACTTTAAATATTTTACATACACGTATGTACAACTAGCGTTTGTATTATTTCTTGCAGTTATGACAGTTCAATATACTATAAAAGAGTGATGTGTGCAATTGTATACTAGTACAATTAATTATGCAAAATCAAAAAATGTTTTTTTGTCTGTTAGTATAAAGTTACCTTTATAATATTGACAGTTAACATACAAAGATGTTTTTTCGGGTTTGAACCGCGTTAGTGTCATTTGCCTTGCTCTTGCAAGAGCAGCCTTCAATATCAAGCTGCAGCTCTTGCAAGAGCAGCCTTCAGTATCAAGCTGCAGCTGCAGCTTGCTCTTGCAAGAGCAGCCTCTTTAAACCCTAATGAAGTGAGCTGTAATGTTCACGAAACGTCGGTATAAAAATGACACTAATGCGGTTCAAACCCGAAAAAACATCTTTGTATGTTAATACTACACACCGCGAAAGCATCAAATATCAAATATTGACAGTTGCTTTGTCAATATTATAAAATTGCTCGACTATGTGTTAAACGATGCTACACATTTGCTACAGAGACATTTCGTACAGAAACTTTCAATAATTCGTGTTTGCGCGCGCGGACGAAAAATGAATTTTGTCTTCGTTTTCTGACAGAGACTATATCTCTTGCTGCTAACTTGGAATAGACAGTTAGTGGAAATTTTAAACCGGTAGTTTGCCGCGGGGTCAGGTTTTAGCTACAGGGTGTTCTAATCGTAAAACCGCGTATCAAAAACACCATGCGTGCAATTCACAAAAATGTTTCTCGACGCTCGTTTCTTTCCCCAGCAATCATAAGCCTACTTTAATTGTTGGTCGTTAAACCGAAATAATCGGAAAACTGTAATTTTCTTTTAGATTACTTTTGCTTGTCCGTCGTTTAATGGTTGTAGAATTATTTTTAGAATTATTTAGAACAGTTGTAGAATTAGTTTTAGAATTATTATATTTTAAACGTTTAACGCTCTTACAAGATGCTTTTACTCAAAGGCAAACATTTCTATTGAGCAGACATCTAGGGAATTTATCTCAAAAGTCACATTTTGTTAGAATAATTTGTAATAACTCTTTCAATCTAAATGAGAATGCGTCATAAAACTAGATTTATATATTCTACTATACTATGTACCAATTTTTTTCTCTTTTTTTACGAGAAATTGCGAGTTTTTCAATCGAATGTCCGAATTGAGGACAAAGCAGTTCTCTGCTGTCAAAATATGTAAAAAAAACTTGTAATTATTCAAGATTGATCATTATTGCATCGGACTGATAATAAAAACATGCCAAACACGAAGAGGTTGACATTCTCTTGTGTAAGAACAAATACTAAAAAAAGCATTTGCGTGCATAACAGAGCATTCTTTGCGAGATATATCGAACGGAGAAGAATAAACGAACTTTTTTCTTTTCTCCCGAAACTAATATAAAATTTTTATATGCAAGTATACGAGCAAAAATAAACGCGGGACACCCTGTATAATGTACGCATACGCGTGCGTTTATTCACGCATGTTCACACGCACGCGAGAAAAGTAACTTACACATTATCAGTAAATGAGCCTTAGGGCGAATGCACTGCCGCACACAATTCACATATATCTAGGCGCGTCGGCGATTCACGTCTACCCCTCTACAGTTACGTCGTCTTCTTTCGGATTCTCATTGGGCAACCCTATCCGGCCAAGGTCATTCGCTTCTCTCGCTATACCTCGCTATCGCCTTCTCCGCCGCGTTTAGGCTCCTTTCTTCCACGCTCCCCATTTTCTCAGATGCGATGGAAGGGTTCTTTTTTTTATATATATATAACGGCTTGTCTCTTTGGAAACCGACAATATGACCGCCCGAGCATTTCCTGTGCGCTATCTAGTATAAATAAGAACACCTGTTACACGGGGCCGTTGGTCTCTTGATCGAAATCGATTTGCGCTCTCGTCCGGTCGTCGATAAATCGTCTTATTGAGACATTAAATTTTTTACGTTTTCTTCTTTGGTTTTTATACTCGCTCTTTCTATTTTCCTAAATTGTATTGTTCTTTCTTTTATGTTTGTCCAAAAGAGTTTTATATTACTTTTGCTCTATATAAATTTTTATATAATATAATATAAATGTATGATTATATTTTATTAGGACAGATATACATATATCTGTCCTACCGCTGACACGGTAGTTACACGACGCGTATATTACATACGATATTATTTGTGATATTGTGATACGTAATCATATATCTCTGTGGATATATTATAGGTAGAGATCAGTGCCTACATATGTATACATACATATATGCATATATATGTATATATATATATATATATATATATATATCTTTACGCATTATTCTCATATATCGTGATCAATGAAAAACACTGTCTGTTATCTGCCATATCAATTAAAGAAGCGAGTGAATTGAATTAATAGATAATCGATTAATGTCATCACACACACACATACAGATCGACAGCTTTCAAGGTTAAGTTAAAGTCATTTTTTATCCAGAAAAAAAGTTTCTCTACTTTTTTACATCAATAAAACTTCAAAAATATTCATTTACTTTATGGTTACTGTGGCACATTAGACTGAAAATGCTTCGTAAAAACACTTGTGTGTGATTGTATAAAATCTAAATATTCTATAATTCTAAATTGTATAAAATCTAGAATTAATTATAATAAATGCAATTGCATTTTACTGTTACAATAAATAAAAATAGTCTATCACTTTTGAAAATTTCTTCTGAGGAAATGCAAAAACAGCGAAAACATCTATATAGTTAATCAGAATTACTGAGAGAATTTATATACAAATGTTTGTAACAAATTGATCCCATGAATCCAGACATTAAAATCGCGGTTGAAATATCCAGACGAAAAACTGTTAGTCACATCTCAATAATCCTGCCTTTTTACTTGTATTATGTAGATGTTTGGAAGTTCACGTAGAAGCGGCTTTGTGCAAAACAATGCAGCCAAAAATCCCTGAAATTTTAAGCCCGGATAATAGTTTGCTTTTCTTTTTGAAATTTAATATTTATTTAATATTTTACTTTTCTTCTAACCAATATGTTTTACTTTCTCTCTTTTAACTTGAAATATATTGTAATATATATTAAATAGCAGGAGCCTCAAATTTCATAAACAGTGATTACAATTCTGTAATGCCTTCTATTATTAGCTTATTATTAGTTTATTTTGTTACATCGCGTGAACTATCTAACTATTTATCTGTACATATTGTATCAATTAATCAAGAAATTACTAAAATTTATCTATTAATAATAATTAGTTGAATCAATCTACATTAATATATAA